TGGAAATGAGGACGCGTAGCCTGACACAGCATGGCAAGGAACTGCCCCAAGGGGGGGGTCTTCTGCGGCCCAAAAACTCAACGAACCGACACCGAATGTGTAATCACTTCCGATGGTTTTGTCGTGGGGGCATTTTCTAGATTTTGGGGCCGTCTGGAAGGACTGAACAACGTATGCCGTGGCATGGCGCTGGAAATGACGACGCCAACGCTGCAGCGGGAGCACGATTAGGGACGAGCGGCAGCGCGGAAATGAGGCCAGCGCTGCAGCGGGAGCACGATTCGGAACGAGCGGTAACCCGAAAATGAAGCCAGCGCTTCAGCGAGAGCAGCATTTTGAACAAAAGCCCAAGCGCAGAAGCGCGGAAATGATGACGCGTAGCCAGGGCGTGGCGACGCCCGAAAATGGGGGGGGGCTTCTGCGGCCCACAAAATCAACGAATCGACACCGAATGCGTAATCACTTCCGATGTTTTCTCCGGGAGGGGGGGGGGTTCTAGATTTTGGGGCCGATTTGGAAAGAACTGGAAACATGCCGTGGCATGGCGCTGGAAATAATGATGCCAGCGCTGCAGCGGGAGCAAGATTGGGAACGAGCGGCAGCGCGGAAATGAGGCCAACGCTGCAGCGGGAGCACGATTCGGAACGAGCGGAAGCCCGAAAATGAGGCCAGCGCTTCAGCGAGAACAAAATTTTGAACAAAAAATGAAAACCCAACTCCCGGGAATCCTGTGTACAAAAACCAATACGCGGAGGGGGGCGGGACATTTTCCGGACGCCACCAGGGGAGAGAGGGGAGTAGTATTCATATTGAGGGAAGCGGGGCGGACGGAAGGAGGGAGAAGAGGGACTGGAGTGGGAGCAGAGAGGTGGCAGGAGGAGGTGATGAGGGGGAGAGAAGCGCGAACGAAGAACGAAACACGAAAACTGGCATCCACACACTACCGCGCTGTCCCTGGTCAGGCTCTCGACCCTGGTCGGGCGTTGGCAGATCAGGGTTTAGTGGGACCTGGTTTAGTGATGTGTACTGGGGGGCGCCCCCCCGCCCCGTTCCACTGACCAGAGCTGCCGTCACCCGAACAAAACACGAGCTGCGGCAGACCTGGTTGCGCGATCCTGACCAACTTAGGGGCTCCAGGGCCCTACCACTAACGGGGCCCCCTTACCTGGGGTCCTGGCTATACCCGACCATAGGGGGCTCGGCGGGAGGACCGGGTTGTCGGACCGCGGGGAAGCTCCCGTTCGAGCGGGGACCCCCATCCGACAGCCCGCACCCATAGCCCCCTCCGTCCTCCCTATGGGTAGCGTGTTGCTCGTTCGTCGAATATGATGTCGTGGTCTTGATGCTCGCGTCGACGAAGATCACGCAAAGAACTCGTCCCTACGGGTGTGTATGTCTGCCGGCATGTCCGAAGAGCGAACGGCATAACGGGGAACGAAGAACGAACATGACACTGCTAGACCAGTGGGAGCGTGCCTGCCCTGGCTGGCCCAGGCCGAGCTTGCAGGACGCCGAGCAGCAACAAGCCGGGCAACAAGCCCCAGGGGCGCCGTCGTCCGTAAAGAAGCCCGAGATCAAGAAGGAGGGGAGGGGGGGAACGATGGAGGACGGATGTTTGGGGGGAGGGGTGGGCGGAGGGCAGCTAGGGGCGGGGAGGGGTGAGGCAGGGGGAGGGGGTAGAGGAGGTGGAGGGGCATTGCAAGAGTGGCGGGCGGGGGAATGTGAACGAGGGATGTCGTCGCAAAGGTCGTCTTGAAGACGGGAAGCGACGAGCGATGCTGATGGGGGGAGCGAGCGAGGGCGGCAGCAGGGAGGGGCAGGAGGGATTGCGGTGGGAAGATGGCGGAGGGGACCTCCTCCTCCTCCTCCTCCTCCTCCTCCTCCTCCTCCTCTTCCCTCCTCCTCCTCCTCCTCTTCGCTCCTCCTCCTCCCTCCTCCTCCTCCCTCCTCCGCCTCTCTCCTCCTCCCCCCCCCTCCTCCTCCTCCTGCCCCTCCTCCTCCTGCCCCTCCTCCTCCTCCTCCTCCTCCCCCTCCTCCTCCTCCTCCCTCCTCCTCCCCCCTCCTCCTCCTCCCCCTTCTCCTCAATCCTCCTCCTCCTCCTCCTCCTCCTCCTCCTCCTCCTCCTCCTCCTCCTGCTGCTTGGCGGGATTGGAGAGGGGGGGGGAGGGCATCTGGGAGCGGAGGGGAGGGAACAGGGAAGGAGGGGGAGGCTTCCTCGCTCGACGAGGGGCCTTGCACAAGCGTGCCTCTTGTAAGGAGAAGGGGGAGGGACGGAGCAGGATAGCAAGAGGGCGGGTGGGGCATGGGAGGGGGAGGAGGGAAGAGGGGGTAGGAAGGAGGGAACGAGGAAAGGGGGAACGCATGTTCGATACATCTTATATATATGTACACATATATATATATATATATACATATATATATATATATATATATATGCGTATGTATATATATATATGATATTAACATGCAGATGTGTGAGTGTGTGCACACACGTGTGCATGTGTATGCAAGAACCACACCCTCCGAGCCCCCAGACGGACCCCCATGTGGGGCACCTTGCTGGGGCTGCCTTGGGCGCGAGGGGGGCACTCTCCCGGGGCTCTCCCGGCCTGCCCTGCGGCTGGTGCCCCAGACTCGACGCCCGAATCAGATCCCTGGCCCCCTCGAGGCCGCGGCCCGACCTCGCGACGCTGGCCGCGGGCGAGTCATGGGGGATCCTCTGGCCCGGGCCAGTCCAGACCAGGGTCAGTCAGGCCTTGCAGAATCTTGCAGCATCCTGCAGGATCCTGCACCCAAGCCCAGGCAACTCGCGAAGGATCCTGCCGGAGCCTGCAGGATCCTGCGCCCAGGCCCGAGTCCGTGCGCCCCGGGCCCTGCGGGCTCCTGCAGGATCTGGTGCCTGGCTGACCCCCGTTTGCACTGACCCCCGTCTCAAGCCTCCGACGTGGGCCATCAACGGGGGGTGGGAACGAGGAGGGGGGCCGGGAAGGGTCTACTGAACGTACCAGCCCCTCCCCGCCGGTACCCGAAGCGCACGGCAGCAGTGACCCAAGAGCCTGGGTGGGACGGGCGTTACAGTTATGGGGTGGAGGGTGAAACGGGGGGAGGGGGGGGGAGGGGGCTATAATGCCCATCATGCCCCAAGCAATGAAGAAACACGCTCCTTGAGGAGCTGGGGCCATCAGAACACTCCAGACCCCCCCAGGGCAACCCCCCAAAGTCCAAACGCCTCCTTGAACCTCGACCCTGGAACCTCGGATCCTCGGCAGGCACTGGCGACCCCCCTGGTGGTGACCTCCCCAGGGCGCCTTGCCCGATCCACGGGCCCCGTGACCGCCACGAGACGACACGGGGACGAGGAGCCGGTCCCGAGGGAAGCCGCCAGGTGGCGGGCCCGCCTGCCTCGAGCACCGCCCTTTCAGTCACGGCGGGGAGTGAGGGGCGCGGGGCGAGGATGAGCTGGAGGAGGAGGAGGAGGAGGAGGAGGAGGAGGAGGAGGAGGAGGAGGAAGAAGAAGAGGAGGAAGAAGAACAAGAAGGAGAGGATGAGGAGAGCCGTGGACCGACGTTCGTGGCCCGCGAGATCTCGTCGCCGCGTCCGGACGCGGCTCGTTGGACCCTGGGACTCGGTGGCCTCGCCTGCCAGTTGTGCCTTCTCTCCCTTGCCCCTCTTGTCCCCTCATGGGATGCATCCGCATGCTACATATATATATATATATATATATATATGTACTAGAACCACGCGCGCGCTTCGCGCGCGCTTAGGTTCTAGCTAGGAGGCGAGCTTGAGTCAACGAAAGTCGCAGGGAAGGGGGCAGGGGGAAGAAGGCCAGAGAGCGCTGAAGGATACAAATACTGGAACCCTCTTGTGATTTTGTGGGGGGCCTCGTCCGGCCGCTCGCTGGGAGTTTGACGTAGCTTCTCGGGAGCCTCTGAACCTGTCGGGGGCCTCCTGGAAGCAGGTTCGAAGCATTTTGGGGGCCGATTTGGGGCTTCTCGGGGCCTCCTTTGGGCCTCTTGGGGGTCTCCTGGGGCCTCTTGAGGGGCCTCCTGGGGGCCTCCTGGCGGCCTCTTGGGGCGGAAGGCTCGAGCTTGCGGTTCGTGGTCCCCTCTGGGCCCCCTCTTGGGCCCGTCTTGGGGCCCTCTTGGGCCATCTTGGGCGCCTCTTGGGCCGTCTTGGGGCCCTCTTGGGCTGTCCTGGGGCCCTCTTGGAAGCTTCTTGGGCCGTCTTGGGGCGGTCTTGGAGGCCTCTTGGGCCGTCTTGGACGCGGTGAAAGCCCAAGATGCGAACATGCGAAAAATATACGTTTTCCCATAGGAATGGCACGATTTTTGTTTCTTGGACCTCTCTTGGGGTGCCTCTCGGAACGTCTTGGGGTGATTTTGGAAGCCTTTTGGCGCCTCTGGGCGGCGTTTTGGCGCCTCCTGGGATATGTTGGGCCGGAAGCTCGGAATTCGAGAGTGGCTTTCTCCTTCTGGGACCCCTCTCGAAGTCGTCTTGGGGTTCTCTTGGGCCGTCTTGGGGCCGTCCTGAGCCACTCGTGCGCAGCCTTGGAGCGCTCCCGGAGGCCTCCTAGGCCGTCTTGGAGGCCTCTTGGGCCGTCTTGGACGCGGTGAAAGCCCAAGATGCGAACATGCGAAAAAATATACGTTTTCCCATAGGAATGGCACGATTTTTGTTTCTTGGACCTCTCTTGGGGTGCCTCTCGGAACGTCTTGGGGTGCTTTTGGGAGCCTTTTGGCGCCTCTTGGCGGCATTTTGGCGCCTCCTGGAGCCTCTTGGGCCGGAAGCTCGGAATTCGAGGTTGGCTTTCTCCGTCTGGGACCCCTCTCGAACTCGTCTTGGGGCTCTCTTCGGCCGTCTTGGGGCCGTCCTGGGCCACTCGTGCGCAGCCTTGGAGCGCTCCCGGAGGCCTCGTAGACCGTCTTGGGCGCCTCTTGGGCCGTCTTGGACGCGGTGAAAGCCCAAGAGGCGAACATGCGAAAAATATACGTTTTCCCATAGGAATGGCACGATTTTTGCTTCTTGGGCCTCTCTTGGGCTGCCTCTCGGAGCGTCTTGGAGGCTTCTGGGACCTTCTTGGTGTCATGACAGGCGTCTTGGAAGGCATCTGGAGCCATCGGAGCGCGTTCCGAAGCCGCCTGCGAACGATCTTGGACGGCGTCCGGCGGTCCGACGAGCCTCCGGGCCCCCCGGGGCCCATATTTGTGGTCGAGGTCCCGGCCCCGGGCCCCCGGACCCGGTGCGCCGTTATATGTACATATATATGTATGTATGTATGTATGTATGTATGTATATATATATATATATATATATATATATATATGTGTGTGTGTGTGTGTGAATGATGTCCGTATGTGTGTGTATATATATATATATGTATGAATGTGTGTATTGAGATACGCAAAACATGTTTAGGAAAAGGAGAGGACAAGCATGAGGGAGATGGACTGCGGGTCAGGACGGCCGTGCGCCGAAGGGCGGGCCGAGCTATCCCAGGCGGGCCGAGCTTGCGTGCCACCGTGCTTCGCAGAGAGAGAGAGAGAGAGAGAGAGAAAAAAAAAAAGAAAGAGAGAGAGAGAAAGAGAGAGAGCCCTCGCCGCAGGGCGACGCAGCCGAGCTGAGGGAGGCGGCCGAGGAGGGTCAAGGTTCAAGAAGGCAGGACAACAAGAGAGGAGATGAAACAGGTGGCAGGGAGGAGGGAGAGTACGAAACTGGGGGGCGAGGAGGTCTGTGACCACCCCTTCTTTTGGCTACCTGGGCAACCACCAACGCTCGTTCGACAACACGTCTAGAAGACCAACAAACTGCACAAACATAACATTCTGGAGGTCCGCACGGACTTCTTTGGTCGGCGCTGCTTCCCCTCCCCTGGCGCGCGGAACTTGCTGGATGCGGCGTCCAAGGCGCCGCCCCAAGAGGTTCGCGCGGACCTCCGAAAACTCACGGCTGCGGTGCCCTCTGTCACTCTTCGGGTCCAAGACGACACCTCGATGCTCGAGTCAGGGTGTCCTGGAGGAAGGGCGAGGCAGAGGAGGCCTGAAGGGAGCAGGCGCGCGAGGGAGGATGGACTCCGACAGCGAAGGCAATAAGCATGCGGAGAGCTGCGGCATCCTAGCAGAGGCAAAAAGGACTACGCTCGTGGTCGACCTATGGGAACCCGGTTCCGCCTCCTGCCATCCGTGCGGCAGCGCCCTTGCCGTCGTAGGAGGGTGCTGGCCGTACGCCCGCACCGATCCCGGCCACTCTCGCCCCAGGCCCAGGACCTGTGTATGCTCCCTACTTTGAGCAGGGACCGACCGTCCTTGCACTTCTTCAGGCCTGCCACGAATTGTTCTTAGAACCCAGACATGGTCTGACAACAAAAACAATGTTCTTGGAACAGAGCCCCGATGTGTTAGAACAAGACGGTTGCAGCCAGGAGGGTCCTAAGAACACCTCGTGCAAACCACAAAAGGTTCTCGGAGCACTGTCCGGTGGGCCTAAATAGGCGAGCCAGGACGCTTCGCCACTGCTTGACTACCGGCCCGGCCAGGGCGGCACATGTACACAGGCCCTTGGCTTAGGTCGGGCCTGTCCCCCCACAGGGGGATCTTGGACGAAACATCAAAGATATCAACCAAAAATGCTCAAAAGATGCCACATAATACTCCAAAAATAGTCCCCAGACTATCTATTGACCATTTTTGAACATTCCCCCTGTAGAGGGACAGGCCCGACCTAACCCTTGGCCAAGGACCAGCCTTGCCAAGATCGCTTTGGGCTTGCATACCCACACCCAGATCCCCGACGTCATGATTTTCATTACGTCGACCCCTGGAGGTCTCGACCATTCCTTTGGACCGCTTTTTCATCCTGAGTCGCTTTCTGACGGTCCCGAGGGCCGGTGAGGGCCCCCAGAGGCCGAAAACAGCAAAAACACCTCCCGTCATGATTTGTTCACTACCCGAGGGGGTCTGGGACCTCACCCTTGGCCAAGGACCGGCCTGGCCAGGATCGCTTTTGGCTTGCATATACCCACGCCTTTGAGCAGGGACCGACGGTCCCGGCATTCCTATAGTTCTACCACGAAATGTTCTTAGAACCCAGAAATGTTCTAAGAACAATAAGAATATCCTTAGAACATAAGCCCGATGTGTTAAAACAAGACAATATCAACAAGAAATGTTCTGAGAACATCTCGTGGGAACCACAAAAGGTTCTTAGAACATTGTTTGGTGGGCTATAGGCGAGCGCTTCGCCACTGTTTGGTTTGGTAGAACATTGTTTGGTCGGACGCTTCGCCACTGCTTGACACACCTCCGACGCCGTGGCTCCCTCCCGGCACCAGGGCGAGGCCTGGACTCCCGCCCCGCAGGGGCTCCCGTGCTCCTCCCCCAGTTCCTTGGCGGCCCAGAGGCGCGGCGAGGGACCCCCCCTGCCTCCTCCTCCTCCTCCACCTCCTCCCCCTCCTCCTCCTCCTCCTCCTCCTCCTCCTCCTCCTCCTCCTCCTCCTCCTGCCACCTCCTGCCACCTCTCCTCCTCCTCCTCCCTCCTCTCCTCCCCCTCCTCCTCCTCCTCCTCCTCCTCCTCCTCCTACCCCTTTTCCTCCTCTTATTCCTCCTCTCCTCCTCCCTCCTCCTCCTCCTCCTCCTCCTACTCCTCCTATCCTCCTCCTCCTCCTCCTCTCCTCCTCCTCCTCTCACCTCCTCCTCTCCTTCTTCTCCTCATCCTTCTCCTCCTCCACCTCCTCCTCCGCCTCCTCCACCTCCTCCTCCTCCTCCCTCCCCTTTTCCTCTTCTCCTCCCTCCTCTCACCTCCTCTCCCGTTAGCCTCCTCGTCCTCCCCTCTCCTCCTCCTCTCCTCCTCCTCCTCCTCCTCCTCCTCCTCCTCCTCCACCTCCTCCTCCTCCTCTCCTCCTCCTCCTCCTCCCCCCCTCCTCCTCCTCTCCTCCTCCTCCTCCTCCTCCTCCTCCTCCTCCTCCTCTCCTCCTATCCCTACCCTTTTCCTCCTCTTATTCCTCCTCCTCCTCCTCCTCCCTCCTCCTCCTCCTCCTCCACGTTATCCCTCTTCCTCCTCCTCCTCCTCCTCCCTCCACCCTCTTCCGCCTCCTCCTCCTCATCCTTCTCCTCCTCCACCTCCTCCTCCTCCTCCTCCTCCTCCTCCTCCTCCTCTCCTCATCCTTCTCCTCCTCCCTCCTCCCCTCCTCCCCTCCTCCTCCCTCCCCTTTTCCTCGTGTTATTCCTCCTCCTTCTCCTCCTCCTCCTCCTCCACGTTAGCCTCCTCGTCCTCCTCCTCCTCCTCCTCCTCCTCTTCCTCCTCCTCCTCCTCCTCCTCCTCCTCCTCCTCCTGCTCCTCCTCCTCCTCCTCCTCCTCCTCCTCCTCCTACTCCTCCCGACTAGCCCAAAAAACCTCTCGACGCGACCTGGCTTCCCCGACGCTGCGAGTGTGCTCCACGGCCAGAGGAGGCGGGCAGCGGGCGTCCCCCCTGCGACTTCGGGAACAAAAAAGAGGCCCCGCTCGGGGCGCGCGCCGAGCCTTGGGGGGGGCTGATACGTTTCCCGCAGGGGCGCCAGGAAGAAGAACTTCTGAGACCGCGGCTTGGCCTTGGAGACTTCGCGAACAGTGCGAGGGCAAGCGCCGTGCGGCGACCTAGTGGGCGAAGCCGAGCGGCCTTGAGAGATCGGCATAGCCCGTCTCAAGAGTTCCTTTCCCTGGGGCCCCTTTTAGAACCACATGAGTCGGCGGTGGACAAACCTCCCTTTAGTGAACCACCCTTCAGTGAAAACGGCCCAGGACCGAAACCGACGGACCTGGACGCGACGCCCTCTCGCGAACCGAAAACGGCCAATTCGCAAATCGACGTGTCAGGGTAGGATAAAGTCGGGCCTGTCCCCCTACAGGCCGATTTTGAACGAAAAATTAAACATACCCCCAGCATACCCTAAAAATGCTCAAAGATGGTCTACAAATAGTCCCCAGACTATGTTTTAACTATTTTTGAACATCCCCCCTGTGGAGGGACAGGCCCGCGTTCAGGGTCGGAGGTTTGTCTACCTCCGCATGAAGGGGCGCGCGGCGGGGGGCGGGCCCCGCTCAGAAGAGCTTCTGCGTCTCCGGCAGGTCCGTGACGGGCCGCTCTCCCCGCAGCACGCCCTCCACGATGTTCACCTGCCCCAGGGGGGGGGTCTCCTCTTGCCGACGTAGACGAAGAAGAATCGGGGATCTTCTGACCCGGGTCAATCCAGACCCGGGTCAGCAGGAAACCAATAAACTGCAATGCAGGAAACAAAACAACTGCAGCGCAGGTCTTCGCAAACCCAGGTCAGCCAATATGCGCGGCCGCCTCGCGGCCACGAGCGGCTCGCTAGCCCAGGTCAGCCAGAGGGGGTCTTCGCAGGATCCTGCAGGATCTGTTGCCCTGGCTGACCCCCGTTTGCATTGACCCCCGTCTCTTGAGCCCCGAAGCAGAAGCAGCAGAAGCAGAAGAACAAGCAGAAGAAGAAGCAGAAAAACAAGAAGAACAAGCAGAATAATAATAATAATAATAATAATAAGAAGAAGAAGAGATGAAGAAACGCCAAGCGGAGACCTCAAGGCGCGGAGGTCCGAGCGGATTTCCTGGATCGGCGCCGGGGCCCCGTGCCTGGCGCATGGAACGCGCCAGAGGCGGCGCCGAAGGCGCCGCCAGGGGGGCGCGGCGCCAATCCAAGGAATCCGCGCAGAGCTCTGTAAGCTGAGGTCCATGACTCCGCTCCTAGCACCAGCAGGAAGGCGATGACGAAGACGAGGGGTAGAAGAGGAATGAGGAAGGGGACTGGGAGGCAGTAGGATAATCCGCCGACCCTGTCGGCGTGTGGGAGAGGCTTTTCCGTCTTCCCCACAGCGTCGTCGCCTCTTCTGCTTTCCGAAAGCTCCCTACACAAGTCCACACAACAATTGAACAACAACGTCGTCCTTCAGTCGAAGGGAAGCCCCTTCCCTTGATCCCTTCCCCGCCGGGGGGGGTGTTCCGGGGCAACTAACTCCCGGGGGGGTCCCCCCCAACTCCCGGGGGGGGGGGGTCCCCCCCAACTCCCGGGGGGGGGGTCCCCCCTCGGATACGCAGCCCCCCGCCTCTCATCCTTCTGCGTCCTGGGGCTCCGTTGGTCCTCCGGGGCCGTCTGCGGGCCCTCTGATCCCTTCCCCGCCGGGGGGGGTCCCGTGGCAACTCCCGGAGTGAGGTCCCCCCTCGGACACGCAGCCCCCCGCCTCTCATCCTACTGCGTCCTGGGGCTCCGTTGGCCCTCCGGGGCCGTCTGCGAGCCCTTTCAGCCTATCTTAAGGCTCCTTGGAGACCTTTCGCCATTTCTAGACTCTCTTGGCAGCCTCTGGCGGCACTCTTGACAGCCTCTGCGGGCGCTTTTGGACCTCGCTTGACGCCGTCTTGGAACCTTCTCGGGCCACTTGAGGGCGCTCTTT